GGAGGATGGCTGGTTGGAAAAAGTAGTATCTTTATAAGGGTGGAAGGGTCACTTTAATGAAAAGCACGCTGTTAAGCCTCCCTACCTATTTTCTCTCTCTTTTTCGGATCCCCTCTTCCGTGACTGAGAGGATTGAGAGGACAACAAAACTTTCTTTGGGGGGATTGGGGGAGGAATTCAAATTTCATCTGGTTCGATGGGATCAGGTTTGCAGTCTAGTCAGAAGTGGAGGTTTGGAAATTAGAAGATTGGCTCTTTTCAACAAAGCCCTCTTAGGGAAATGGCTTTGGCATTTTGAGGTGGAGAGGCACAAGCTATGGAGGAGAGTGGTTGTGAGTCATTTTGGGGAGGGGAGTGGAGGTTGGAATTCTCTTGAGTTGCGCTCTCCAGGTGGTGTGGGGGTTTGGAAATCCATTAGGAAGGGTTGGAATGATTTTTCCAATCACATCAGATTTTGCCTCAGGGGTGGTAGGAGGATTCGTTTTTTAGAGGATGTTTGGTGTGGGGATCGCTCTCTCGTTCTCACTTTCCCTCGTCTTTATAGAATTGTTGCGAATAGACAGGCCATGGTGGTTGACTGCTATTGCCTTGATATTGGGAGATTGTCTTGGGATGTTCACTTCACGAGGCACTTTCAGGATTGGGAGATTGAGGATGCTTGCGGTTTTTTGGAGTTGCTATATCGTCAGGAAATTATGGGTGGAGTTTCGGATTCCTGGAGGTGGGTCTCTGCTTCTCAGCGGCATTTTGATGTTTGGTCCTTCTATAGACGTCTTATGGAGGGGCCAAGGGTTTCGTTTATGTGGAAGGCAGTTTAGCGGTCGAAAGCCCCTTTAAAAGTGGTTTTCTTTGCTTGGAATCATGTCTTGGGGAAGATCTCGACTCAAGACAATTTGAAGAGAAGAAACCAGATTGTCCTCAACTGTTGTTGCATGTGCCTTTGTGATGAGGAGACTGTTGATCGTTTCCTTTTGCATTGTCATGTGGCCAGGGACTGTTGGGACTTGATGTTAGGTTTGTTTGGGGTTCAGTGCGTTATGCCCAGGTCTTCGAGGGGTTTTGTTGAGGCTTGGAGAGGATGTATAGTGGGGGTCCAAGTCAGTGACATTTGGAGGACTATGCCTTTGTGCGTCTAGTGGTGTTTTATGGCTTGAAAGGAACATGTGGTCCTTTGAAGGAAAGGAAACTTCTATTCCTATGCTGAAGTTCTCCATCTTTTCCACTCTTTTTGTTGGGTTGTAGGGAGAAATTATAGATCCTTGGAGGGGATATATGATTTTTTGTGCTCTTTGAGAGTTTAGAGGCCCTTTTTTGGCCTTGTGTAGTTTTCTTGGGATGGAGTCCTCTTTTGATCGCTTTCTAATACAATCTTATTTATCAAAAAAAGAAGAGTGAAATACCTATATTGAGCACTATGTTATAGAAAGACATTACTCTAGAAAATATAATAAAAATATTAAATAAAATGAATATTTAGTACTATCCATGTGTCCTTTTGTTTGGGGATCTCGCACATCCGATGTGTGGATACATAACATACCTGTACACGACACATGTACTTGATTCCATGTATCGTAATTCCTCTCTAACCCGAAAAATACATTCCTATATACTTTTCAGACAAGTGGAATTTCTGGCGCATGTACAGATTGACAAATGGAGTGAAGTTCACTTTGATAACAAAAACCAATCTAGAATTTGCATGAAATCCAGTCAACACAAACACCCCCCCCCCCCCCCCCCCCCCCCCCCCCCCCCCCCCCCCTTTCCATGGCCTGCTGCAAAGCTGTGAATGATGTGCAATTTGTTGTCAGAATTGATGCTTCTTGATACAATTTTAGTGAAGAATTCACACTCATGATTTGCTTACCATTGACTTTTAGTTATATATACTGTATTACTGAGCATTACATGGTGGTTAAAAATATTTACTGTTAGAATGGACCAGGTTGATGTTAACATTTCGTCCTGTGCAATTTTAGGGTGGAGCAACTCGTACAGTTGTTAATCACACAAGTCAATTTGTTGAGATCAATAATATAATTTCCCAACCATGAATACGCGTGAACAAGTTTTCATTATATAGTTTATGCAAGTAAAATGGATACCCAATGTTGGATTTTAATGCTCTGAAAAATATGCTGTAGATGTTTAGTTATTGTTAGATTATGTGCTTGAGCTTTTGTAATTCGTAGTTTTATTTTAAATGCTACTTTCTAGATTCTGCACCCTTGACAATACAAACTTCCATTCTTTTTATTTTTTATTTTGGGATATTAAAGAATGGAGTGAAAGGGGGAGCTGCAATATGGTTTAATGCTGCCCTTCTTACATGCTCTAAGTTTCCTCCTTCAGGTTCCTCTGATCCGAATCTGTCACTGTTGCTAACTTAAAGTCTATATCGGATCTTATTCGTAGTTCGTCTACCTCTATTTTATGTAGCTTTTTGTCTACTTTTGCAGCCTACGTTTCATGGTTACATGATATGAGATTGGCTTGGAGGAAATAATCTTGTAGTAAATTTCTTGAATCTATCTGCATTAGATATCATCATTTGCTATCTATGTTTGGTCAATTCATGAAATGCATGTGAAATAAATTGCTAATATTACCCCCCCCCCCCCCCCCCGCCCCCCCCCCCCCCCGGCGGACGTTTAAGCTGATGAGTATCTAAATCAATAAAGACCAAAATATTATTATCCTGATCTTCCTCTTTGCTATACATGTGATAGTTCAATGAGAAGGTAAACTTTTTGTGCTTTTGTGATTGAACACATTTTCTTACTCCATGTCAGAGAATTTCAACAAATAGTGTTTCTAGTTCATTTTAGTACTGATGGCTGCATATTAAGGTGTGATCTGCATAAGCTGATTATCTGTTATAGCAGGATTAGGTCATATTTTCTCTCGGACGAGGATGTTCTGTCACCGAGAAAGTGTAATGCATCATTCTTGCCATCTCAATTTTTTGCACTCTGATGAGGCATTCCATTGAATTGTGGAAGCTGTTTCACTACTGATTATATGCAATTGGGGTGATTAATTTGTTTGTTTTACATTATTGATGGTTTAAAATGTGTTCACACGGTATTTTCCTATTTTTTTTTAAAAATTTTTTTTATTGGCAAGCCTTCAGTTTCCTGAATGAGTTTCCTCATAATAAGGCAAATGAATTGATATCAGTTGTCTAATGGTTTATACTAAGAAGATTCAGTTTATTGCAGATCTCAATTCTGAGTCAGCCAACTATTCCATTTGTGAGTTGTGATGCTAGTGGACTGAGCATTTAAATTTGGATAGTCTGGTCATTTTATAATTTCAGATACTATGGTACCACTCATATATAATCATGCAATTTCAACAAATTATTTTTTGATCACTGCCTATGTTAGAAATTGACTAAATTTTTGTGAGATGAGGGCGAGCCTATATTTTTGTATACTTGATTGACCTTGCAAATGAGGGCAAGCATTGGTGCAACGGTAAGATTGTTCCATTTTGACAAAAAAACACTTGAGATTTTGCAATGGCGGGAACTTTCAGGGTCGGTTTGCCCTTTATTATTTTATTTTATATATATTAATTGATTGACAATAATATATGAATTATAGATTGGTACATCTAGATAATGTAGGTCAGACTTTAGTTACATAATTCGCTCGTTTTCACGCTCTATGTTCAATTTCTTACTAAATTGAAAGAGTGGGGACACAAATCAACCATAGTTATGCGTGTGGCCTAGCAATGTCTGGCCATAGCTTGGCAATTGATCAAAAGCCCAATTTGGTAGGCTGCTTTAAATGTGGGTCTGACTTAGTTTAGGAAACAGGGAGATAACTGCGAGATAGACTAATCAAATTTTGTCGGGTGCTTTTTATAGAATGTATTCTAAATTGTGATAATATTTTCTTATAAAGGAAAAGTCAAATTTTTATTTATTTTTTATTTTGAAAAAGTTGTATATTAAAGTACTTTATGGCTATTGCCTGGAAAAAAGCAATAATAATAATAAGAGAAAAAAAAGAGGAAAAAGAGAGGTAGTTACTGATTTCAGCTAATTTGATCTGGTATTAGCATGACATCAAGTATGAGGTCAGGGTTGGATTAAAATATACGAGTATAATATCTTTTCTTAACCAGCTGAAATAGTGTGTATTTTGATTGGGTGAATATATATGGTTTATGAAAAATAATTATTACACCGGTTACTTGCCAATTACTTGCAGTGAATTGCTAAATTTACAAGACTTAAGCTAATTAAAAAAAATCATTCCCGTGTGAGTAATCATTGTTTATTATTACAGCTTGGGCCAGGAGACCAACCATGAACGTACAGAAACAGATCCCCTAGCCCATTGGGCTCTGTAAAATGTCCAAATTCAAATGAATACGAGCTTCTTGTCTTAATCTGGAACATTGTTTTCTTATCCAAAAGTGAAATGTGTAAGGAATGAGACAAGGGGTGTTGGTGATAACACGTTGTATCTCTTCCTTCTTTTCTTTTTCCTTCTATTTTTTATTTTTTTATTTTTTATTATTAATTGCTTCTATTGTTTTGTGATGAGTAAATTCATGATTTTTTTTATTACCACATAAAACAAAAATAATTAAACTATATTTGGGAGCACCTAATTCAAAATTCTAATTCAGGAATTTTATTTTACTTGGTTTGCAATTACATGGTCCCCCCTTTCAAAATTTAAAGGCAGAATTATTTCTTTTCCTTTGTTGCCATTATCTTTTTCAAACAATTGATTAAAAGTACAAAGTTGTTTCCGAGTTATTAACTTTTTTTTTCCTCTCCATTTTCATTTTTTTTTTTCACAATTGATTGAAAATACAAAGTTGTTTCCTTTTTCTTTCTCTTGTAACGGGTATTGTTCTCTCATTTATTTATTTTTAAATGTATATCAATAAAATTAAATGTTATCATCAATAACTTTTTTTTTATTTTTTTGTTTGTCATTAATATCTTAACCTGCTGCGTGATGTATCTATCTGAAAATTGAGGTCTAAGATTGAGGCTTCAAATTTCAAACAGGGAGTATTAGTTGCCCATCGCCGAAAGGGGGAAAAAAAAACAGAAAAAGAATTAAAGCTTAGTTGGCGGCTAATAAAGAAGCAGTTGGGATCTGACATTGGTTTCTCCGTCTTTCTTGGAGAGCAACAAGTGTTCTTCGATCCATCCACCACAAAGCTCACACTACCACAACTTTCCAAACCCACTTTATATATATACACACACACACACACTTGTTCTCTGTATGTGATGAACAAGTGTTTCTTCTTTTTTCTAGATTTCTCACTCCAAAACTGACCACCCACCTTGGAATTACATCTCTGTAATGGCTCAGGCACTCATTCCATCTGCCTATCTCACCAATTCGTCCTCCATTGACCTTCCCAGAACCTCAGCTGCAACGTCTACAGTAAGTCTGTATTTTTTTTCTCTCTCTCTCTCTAGTCTACACATAATTGTTTGTATTTTTTTCCTTCAATTGGTGCTTTGTTTCGATTCTTAATGCAGATCTTTGGTCCCAAGTTGGAATCAGTGGAAATTGAGCAGACCCATTTCAGATTACTCAAGTAAGTCCTTGTTAATTTCAATTTTTCATTATTTTCTTTTCTCAGTTCAAGAAATTACTGTCTTGATATGAGCTTTTCCCCTGAAATGTCTAGTAGGTTTGTTTGTTCTGCACAATACAGATTTTTTTTAATTTCCTTTTCTTTTTCTGCTGTTAATGTTAAAATTGGTTTGTTGTTATATAGAAGTTGTAACTTGAATTGATATTGAACAATTAAGGTTGTGGCTTGCTGATTTTGATTGCTGTTGGTGTAATCGATTGATTTGATTATGCTACTGTACATTGAATTGTAAAAGCAGCAGGGGTGACAATTTGTGTAAACCTGTTTCATAATCGAGCTAGGGACGCTTGATATGAACTTGACCCTTTATTAAAACGTAACACAACACGACCCGCGTTTGTTAAATTAAGTATAAAATGAAAATATAATGAAAAAATTGAGATAATGATATGAAAATGAGAATAATTGGGACAATACAATTACAAAGAAGGGCAAAATACAATTATCCATATTGGATTTATATTGAAAAAAATAGAAATGTTCATGGTAATTGGGTTAAAATAGGTTATGGGTTAATCGGGTTGACTTGACATGAATATGACACAATTAATTAAACGTGTCTAATCGGGTAAAACGGGTTGAGCTGCAAAACATGACACTATAAATTAAATGGTTCAATGGGTTGACACGATAATGGCACGAACACGATTAAGGTCAACATGAACCTGCTATCTTCGTGTTGTGTTTGAGGCTTGTTGGTGGGTTGTGTTGAATTTTGCCATCCCTAAAATGTTTGACAGAATATATGTGATGATTATTAATATGATATATTTTAGTATATGTTGGTCAACAACAAAGAAATGTGATTAAAACAACTCTTGAGAAATAGTTTCATTGGTTTGAGGATTACACTTTGGTTGAGTTTTGTGGATAATGTCTTAGTTGATATATTTTTAACTTCTCTATATATATTTGATCTTTTCCTGCACAAATTTCTGAAGTTCAGCAAAAAGATTTACACTTTTAAAACCCAGGAATTTCTGTCCTACCGACATTTGAAATTCATATTGAGAATGTAACGACCCTCACCCTGGCCAGACACAATATTGTCCGCTTTTGGCTCACCCAGACCAGAGACTTCTCAGGGGGTCACCTATCCTGGTACTACTCCAAGTTAAGCACGCTTAATTACAGAGTTCTGATGGGTTCATGGCCATCACGGTTTTAAAACGCATTGTGTCATAGAAGGGTGTTGAATCTACATATAGCATTTGCCCCATCCACTCCCAGACGATGTGGGATTGTGCACCTCTACCTTGCCCAGTGTGGTAGCCTACTGGTGCCCTCTGCACACGCTCACACACACCCGCCCACAAGGTCGCCACAATCAACCCCCCCCCCCTTTGGGGCCCAACGTCCTCGTTGGCCACACTTCCGGCTGGGTCAGGCTTTGATACTATTTGTAACGACCCTCACCCTGGTCAGACACAATATTGTCTGCTTTTGGCTCACCCAGACCAGAGACTTCCCAAGGGGTCACCCATCCTGGTACTACTCCAAGTTAAGCACGCTTAACTACAGAGTTCTGATGGGTTCATGGCCATCACGGCTTTAAAACGCGTTGTGTCATAGAATGATGTTGAATCTACATATAGCACTTGCCCCATCCACACCCAGACGATGTGGGATTGTGCACCTGTAGCTCGCCCAGTGTGGTAGCCTACTGGTGCCCTCTGCACACGCTCACACACACCCGCCCACAAGGTCGCCACAGAGAATGAAAGCAAGAGACTGGATCTTTTTTTCCTCTCTATTATTTGTTTTTGACCTAGATGTGGTTCTCATTCAAGTGTCTTAGTTTTAATGATACTGGATTTGTTCTTCCGTACCGTTCTCCATTATTCTGTTTTAGCAGCCTTATCCTTCAACTACAATTTTTTTTCCTATTTCAATGAAGGAGCTAAATATCTACAATGGTCTCTAATTCATGCATTACTAGCTTCTAATTTTATTATTTGATGGTTAATTTATAGGAAAGTCATGCCTTTTAAGATTAAGACTTCCTTGCAACCTTCAGGATTGACTCCAAGAGATAAGAATGTCTGTATTTCGGTTTAATTCATATGAACTATGTAACTAGTTGATGCATCTAGATTCACTAAGGCATCCGTTTTGTGCTGCTCCAAATGTCTGCCTTTCACATTTGCAGGCCCAATTCATCTTTGAGATTAAAGGCCTCAAGGGAGCCTTTGGGGCTGACTCGAGAACTCACAAATAACAAAGACACGAGCGTAGCTGGAGCTGAAAATGGGTGTGATGTATTCAATGAGATGAAACATCGATTTCTGAGTTTCAAAAAGCATACATACTTGTAAGCAGCAAATAATTCTAAAAGTCTAAATGCTGTTTAACTTGAAAGAACTCTCCTCCTAATTAATTATGTACTTTTTGATCAGAGAAAACTTAGAACGCTTTCAGAATCTTGCCAAGAGTCAAGCACCGAAGGTGATAACGGGTTTTGTTTCCGAGTTATTAACTTTTTTCTGCCCATGTGGTATACATATAATAGTGAAACTATTTTGGGTTTCTTTGCTTTGGTGATTTGCCTCAATTTTGTTGTCGATGTGGTATATAATTTTCTTACTGACAAGTTCAAGAACAGTTTATGGTGATTGCTTGTGCGGACTCTAGGGTTTGTCCATCCAGTATACTAGGATTTCAACCAGGAGAAGCCTTTGTAGTTCGCAATGTGGCAAATCTGGTGCCTCCGTTTGAGGTATCATATGCGCATTTGCTTGCTATTGAATTTACACCAGCTCCTAATTAATAAGCCTATATATAGCAAAACAGATATTTATGATTGGAACGAGTATATTTGAAACAATCTTTTGAAGTGGTATATGCCTCTCTCTTTCTCTCAAAATGCAGAATGGACCCTCGGAGACAAATGCCGCCCTTGAATTTTCTGTGAATTCTCTAGAAGTAAGTATTCTCACAGATCCACTGACATGCTGCTATTTATTTTTTCTTGATTGACACAAAAATAATTATGTAGCTAGGCACCATTGGTTGTGTATGGCCTGCCCATTCACTGTGGACAGTGGTGACATGTTATTATGTTTGGAATTCATGAATCATTGGGAACCTGAAACTATTTGGTTTCTGCAAGTTATATAGGGATACTGCTGTGAAAAAAGTCAACGAGCCACTATTCTGATAAATTTTGCAATCCATCTAATGGCTAATTCTTTCTGTTTTGGGATTGGTAAGTCACATATACACACCCATAATTGTCCCTGTCAGAGAACCTTCCATTTGGAAGGAGGGGGAGATACCACTTGGGCTAAGCCCTTGGTATCTCATGGCTAATTCGGAAAAGACTAAAAATTCGAGGGAGAAAGGAATTTACGTAAGCTGAAAGAAAGAGCAGATTTGGTAACCAATAAAGAAGCATGTATTTTCATTTTAGATTTATGTGGGCACTTTATGAGTGATTTGCAGTACTCACATGATTAAAAGTTAAAAACCAAAGTCCGTAGCCTTATGTTACTTCCTTACCTTCCGATGTAGAAGGTTGAGGCTTCAATTCCCATGTAGGTGCAAAGCGGGGGGTGTAAGTTTCTTGCCAAGGTAACCTAGTTATGCTTCTCACAATTGAATTGTCTCTTTATGCTTCACTAAGACACCATTTATAGTTTCCATTTTCTATTTTGATGAGTGGAATGGCTCTGGCTTTAGAATATCATTAGATCAAATTGAGCCACAACTCACAAGTCAGAAGTGTTAGTAGATATCACCTACTCTCTCACTTGAACATTAACGAGTATGTGATTTTCTGCAGGTAGAAAATATATTAGTCATTGGCCACAGCTGTTGTGGGGGCATTCGTGCCCTAATGAGTATGCAAGATGAAATAAATTCAAGGTTTGCCGATATCTGTATTTTTTTTTCCTTCAGTGTCTCATGGTTGAATGTTTCTCTATCTCTGTGTGTGCATGTGTGTGTGGGGTAGTGTACTTATGTTTTTCAGTACTATCATCTTTGTTTTCCAGTAGTTTTATTAGAAGCTGGGTAATTGTTGGGAAGAATGCAAGGTTAAGCACAAAGGCTGCCACTTCCAACCTCAACTTTGATCAGCAGTGCAGACACTGTGAGAAGGTGCTGTATATTTTTGTTTCGTCACTAGTAATCTTTTTTTATTTAACAAGAATATGTATTAACGTGGTATCAGAATATTGCAATTTTAGTGTCTGCATGTGTCTGTCTCCATTGTTATTATGGAGGGAAGAGCGGGTATTTCATCAGATGCTATGAAGTATGGACAAGGATAGGGGTTATAGATGCATCACGATCCTAAATTCTTACAAGAGGGATATGAATATGCTGAGGACATGAATATATATATGTATATATATGTATGCATGTTATGCAGATATGTTATAAATGATATTCATTCACAAAAAATAATGACATACAAGTATTTTTGATGAATCAACCCAATATCCTATATGTTACTTTACAACATAAAAGATCACTTGAATAAGAAAAAATCTGAGTTGTGGTAAACTGACACGTACTTCGGACTATATTAGATATGATATCTCAATTCTCTTTCCCCACTTGAGAAAGTTAAAGTATTTGAAACCCCTTTTATTCTTTCTCTAGCAATTATACTATGATATACTACACTGAAAATTGATATCTTAATGTTCAAGACCTGTCCGAAAAAATTGGTGTAGGTCATGAGAGCTGATTTCTATGACATAAATATAGGACTGCAAAAAAACAAATGTGTTAGGGATGTTAATTTTACCTCCCAAATGTTTAAGCCATATATATCCTTTATTTTCAGGAATCCCTCAACCGTTCATTGTTGAACTTGCTCACTTACCCATGGATTAAGGAAAGGGTGTCAAAAGGGTTGCTTTCCATTCATGGTGGCTACTACGACTTTATCAACTGTACGTTTGAGAAATGGACCCTGGAATACCAAGGCAGTAGTTTGAAGGAGGAGAGTGGCAGATACTCTCTCAGAAACCGAGAATTTTGGTGCTGATTTTTTACTTTTGCAATTCCTCTACTTGTTACTGAATTTATATGTATAAGATTTCTTCAAGTTTAGTTATGATTGAATCCTTAAGACCACTATAGAAAAGAATATTTTCCCCTTAAAATTTGTGAAACTCTACCTGGTTTCATCAGTGTTTCAATCCAATTCTTCTTATTGTGCCTTAGTTATAGTGTGCCATGTATACATCTTTTACCATTTTATACATATTAGTCAGCATTTTATATTTACTCTTTAGATTCTGTGGTTTATACTGTATCGACGCATCAATTCACACTAGGTATGGACCATGTTTGACTTTTCTCTCTTTTCTCTCTTCTCTATTTGATGTCGGAGTCTTTCACTTCGGCATTTGTTGTTTTCTGCTGCTAGATTCTTGGCTTTTTGGCAAGGAATTGTGGTACGCATTGATCGTTTCTTAGTGTCGCGACTCTACCACGCCTCAACTTTCATGGAGAAATCAAAAGCTGTTCTAGGTCGTTTTGATCGAGATGTGGGGAAAATTGAAGGGATTGAGGCGTGGGCGACGAAAACTTGGAAGGTATCAAGTGGGGTGAAAGTCTCTCCCCTACCCTACGATTTACTCTTGTTCAGGTTTCCATCGGAGGTTGAGGCACTAAGGGCTTTGGATGAGGGGAGGAAGAGATGGGGTGACGCCTTGTTATCTATCGACGTTTGGTATTTCGCAGTGGGTTGCTCTGTAGTGAAAGATCGAGTAATACGAAGGGTGGTGTTGTTTGGTTTACCCCTCCATCTTTGGTGCCACAAGTTGTGTGTTGCAATTGGTGACTTATGGGTGGATTTTGAGGTGTCGAGGCGGACGTTATGACGAGTGGAGAGAGAATCCTCCTCTATGTCTTCGTTGGAGAAGTAATGCTGGAGTTTATTTTCATTGAAGACCAGAGAGTGTGGCCTTTAAGGTTAACTTGATAGAGGAAATATCTCATCGCATCCTTCCGAAGTCCTATTATGGCGTTGGGGAGAATCCCCACCTCCCTTCTGTTGCAAGGTTTATTGAAGGGAGTTGCCGGAATGTATAGACCAATCAAGGTCTCAAAGGAAAGAGGCGAGTGCCTGTGCACGCGCCAGAAGCGAGTAGAGGAGGCACTAAGAGCCGTGTCAATCACGCCCTCAATCAGCGCCTATCATCTTCTCGTAATATCCGCTTCAACGGTTACCAACCACGTGGCAGTGATCGTGGCATTAAAGGAGCTTTCCATGCAGAGGCCTTTGTTGGGCCTAAGTGTGATCGTGGACCTAAAGCGTTCTCTGGGCCTGCCAAGACAAATGGATTGTTAGTCCATCACAGTCCACAGGCTACAAAGGAGATTAAAAGGGCTGTTAAGTGGGGGCCTAGCAACCAATTATCTTTTTCTTTACAGAATGATAAGTCCAACCCACATTTTATGCCCAAGCCCAATCATGAAGTAGATTAGTCACGAGTTGGGCCACAAGTGAGTAATCCAAAGAGAAAGGTAATGCGGAGGCCCAATAACTTGATTTCAGTTTCTTTTATTAATTCCAAGCCTAGCCCACCTATCTCTACAGATATTAGCAACTCATAGAGTTATCATCTTAACGGCGCCGCTGCATCTTTTTGGAATTCGCCGGAAAAGAGGAGATGGATGAATCTCTCTGCTGCCGAGGCTGGTGTAAGATCTGCCGAGAAGGTTTTTCGTCATTCTAAGTGTTGTGCCGACATATCAACTTCATCCGCTTTTGTTTCTACACAGCCAAAGGGACAAATTTCCAGATTCTTGTCTCGGGATTCTCACAGAAATCGTCATGGAGTTAGATGGTCTAGAAAAGATAAGCAGAAGTGGCCTTCTACTAACGATCTAGTTATGTCCTCAGTGTCACACCCTCGGAGCCCTTTCACTGCTCCATCTTCTTTTTCTACCCCTTCTTGTGAGGTGTCGAGGGGTGACACAGATGTGTTGGAATCGGAGAAGAGGGTGTGGGCTGTCAATTACGCATAATGGACCTGAAGCTATGAATGGTTTGAATACGAAAGGAAAGGTTGTTGGTGAGACTGTTTTTTTTTGGGCAGTTGCATGTTGCTGCCTGCGCAGTTAAGGATTTTTCTGAAGGGGTTACAGTTTGTGTGGGGAGAGACCTGCATTTTCAGTTGTCCAATAATGAGGCCGCGGCTCTGTTTAAAGAGCTTCGATTTTAAGTGTAGCATTGAAAGGCCTTAATTGCTTGCCATTTGCAGGGACATAGGAGAATGAGGCTGGTAGTTTCGTAGGAATGAGCGACTTTGCTACAAGATTAGATTCTACATATGAGAATGAAAGATATTTTGAAGAGGAGATGGATGGTGATTTGGGGTCTATCCAACAGGTTTGCTCTAATGAGCTTGCCCCTTGGATGGAAAATGTTTCAAACATATTAGTGGAGGAACCACTGGTTGTTATGTAACCTGACTGTTATGAAGAGGCTACTGATATGGGGAAAGATTGGATAGTTGATAATATTAGAGTTACTAGTGAGCTACTGGGAGTATCATTAGAGGGTAATGACGATTAGACACTATCCATCCTTCAAGAAGTTGTGGAAGGAAGAAAGGTCGTAATGACCAATGAAGTCATGAACACGAGGCCCTTATTGTCCTGGAAAGGGGCACAGGAAATTAAGAATCTCATCTCTGAAGTCAACTATGAAGGGAAGAGAGGAGTGGTGAAGGAAAGGGGAAGGACCAAGAGTAGGAGTTTTAGGAAGGGAGGAGGGGAGATAATTTTATTTGGTTTTTAATGAAGCTACGAATCATTACATGGAATGTTCGTGGTCTCAATGATCCGAACAAGAGGAGGGTGGTGAAGGTAGCGTTAAGGAAGTGGGGTGCCCAGATTGTTTGTTTACAAGAAACTAAGCTGGCATCCATTTTTGACGGGGTGGTTAGGAGTTTGTGGGGAGGGAGGTTTGTGGAATGGGAGGCCTTGAATGTTATAGGTACTTTGGGTGGGATTTTAGTCATGTGGGACAGCAGATGGTTATCTATAACGGACGTGTGGTTGGGAAGATCTTCTGTGTCTTGTGTGTTTAAGATGGAAGAGGACAATTTCAGATGGGTTTTCACTGGAGTTTATGGACCGGTTGTTGATGATAAACGACTTATTTTCTGGGAGGAGTTTAGCCATGTCCAAGGATTGTGGTCTCTCCCTTGGTGCTTGGAAGGAGATTTTAATTTTGTCAGGTCCCAGTCAGAGGGGTCTACAGGGGGAAGAAGGTCCTTAGAAATGGATCAATTTTTTGATTTTATCGATGAGCATTTTCTTGTTGACTTACCAATGGAAGGTGCAGCCTATACTTGGTCGAATGGTAGGGATCCAATCACTCTTTCAAGACTGGACATATTTTTAATTTCTGGGGAGTGGGAAAAGAAATTCCCAGATGTCGTTCAGGCGGTGTTAGCAAGGGTCACTTCTGATCATATTCTTTTGGTCTTGGATTGTAGGGGTTTGTGTTCTCGAAGATCCTCGTTTAGATTTGAGAATATGTGGCTGCGTGTGGAGGATTTCCAAGGGAAAGTCAGATCTTGGTGGAAGGGAGAACAGAGTCTTGTTGATTTTTCTGAAATTGATCGTCTTGAGGAGGCGGGTGGGGATGTGGAGTCTCTACGTTCTAGGATAGCTTCCTGTCAGGTTGTTCTTGCTAAGATTGCTAGTATGGAGGAGATTTCGTGGTGACAAAAATCTCGGGCTCTCAAGCTAAAAGAAGGAGAACGGAATACAAAATTTTTCCACAGATTAGCTAATGCTCATAGGAGGAGTAATCATATAAGAAGAATTCAGGTAGAAGGTGTAGAGTTATGGAGGGAGGAAGGGGTGCGTAACGGGATTGCTTCTTTTTACCAGAAGCTTTATACCGAGCCATTAGTTTGGAGGCCCAAACTTGATGGTCTCCATTTTGAGGATATTTCTGAGCTGGATAGAGATAGGATTGAGAATCCTTTTACTGAAGAAGAAGTTCTAAAGGCTTTATCAAATTGTAATGGGGACAAAGCTCTGGGGCCTGACGGTTTTACTATGCATTTCCTGATGGAAAGTTGGGCGGTAGTAAGAAATGAGGTAATGGGTACTTTTCAGGAGTTTCATTCTACTGGTGTCGTTGAGAAGTCGCTTAATACTTCATTTATTGCCCTTATCCCCAAGAAGGGAGGCACTTCAGACATAAAGGATTTCTGTCCAATTAGTTTGGTGGGTTGTATTTACAAACTTATTGCTAAGGTGCTTGCTCTAAGGATGAGGGAAGTTATGGATGGGATTATCTCGGACTCCAAGAATGCTTTTGTTGGAGGACGGCAAATTCTTGATTCAGTTCTTATTGCTGGCGAATGTGTGGATTCCAGATTACGTAGTGGTGTTCTTGGAGTATTATGCAAACTTGATATTGAGAAAACGTACAATCATGTGAACAGGAATTTCCTACTCTATTTTTTTTTACAAAGAATGGGGTTTGGAAGTAACTTGTCTCTCGTTTGTCAAGTTTTTAATTCTTGTGAATGGTTCTCCCGCTGGTTTCATTGGTTGCACTAGGGGTATAAGACAATGTGATCCTTTGTCATCTTTCCTTTTTCTTGTTGTTACGAAGGGTTTAAGCAGACTTATGCGCATGGCAAATGACCTTGGTTTTATTAAGGGATTCAAGGTGGGTAGAAATTCAGTCCATCAGATGGAGATCTCTCATTTACTTTTTGTAGACGATACCCTGGTTTTCTGTGATGCTGATGTGTCTCAACTCCGATATTTGAGGTGTATCCTGGCTTGTTTTCAGGTGGCTTCCGGGCTAAAGGTCAATGCGGCTAAGAGTGTGCTTGTCCCAGTAGGGAATGTTCAGGGTATTTCCTCTTTAGTTGCAGTTCTTGGTTGCAAGGTGAGTTCTTTCCCTATTCCCTATTTGAGTTTGCCCCTAGGGATCTCTTCAAGGCTAGTGGGGAGTTGGGATTCAGTGATTGACATGTATGCGAAGAGATTGGTAGGATGAAAGAAGCAATACTTGTCTAAGGGGGGCAAAGTTACTCTTATTAAGAGTATGTTATCGAGCCTCCCCACTTATTTTCTTTCTATATTCCAAATCCCTTGGTCCGTTGTGGATAGGATTGAAAAAAATCAAAGGGATTTCCTATGTGGAGGAAGGGGTGATGAGTTCAAGTATCACCTTGTCAGATGGGAGTAAGTTTGCACGCCTATGAAATTGGGTGGTCTTGGCATAAGACAATTAGTTCCTTTCAATTAAGCTCTACTGGGTAAATGGTTATGGAGATATAGGAGGGAAAAACATCGTCCTTGGCGCAGGTTAGTCTCTTGTCAGTTTGGGGAAGAGGTGGAGGCTGGAGGCTAGTCTATACATCCGGTTTCCCTTATGGGAGGACTAGGGATGTGGAAGTCTAGTCGGAATGGGATGCTTTTTCTGCTCATATCAGGTTCAAAGTCCGTGATGGACGTCGAGTTCATTTTTGGGAAGATCTTTGGTGCTGTGATTAGCCACTATCTCGTACATTTCCTAGATTATTCAGTATTACAGTTAATAAACATGCCTACGTAGCTGATTGTTATCAGCTTGATAGCAGTGGGATTACGTGGGACGTGTACTTTCGGCGCTCTTTTCAGGATTGAGAGTTGGATGAGATGTGTGTTTTTCTGAATCTATTGTATCGGCAGGAGGGTGTTGGCAGAGATATTAACGACTTGATTTGGGTTCCTTCTTCCCACGGTCGCTTCGAAGTAAGATTCTTGTTCTTATGTCTGTTTAATTTTGATAATCGTGACTTCTCGTGGAAGACTATTTGGTGATTCATGGCTCCAACTAGGGTAGCTTTCTTTGTTTGGACCGCTATTTAGGGAAAGATTTTGACACTTGATAATTTGAGGAAAAAGGGGCAATTGTATTGTTAATTGGTGTTGTCTATGCAAGAAAGATGGAGAGTCAGTTGATCACTTCCTTATGCATTGTCCTGTGGCGAACAACTGTTGGAATCTTATTCTCGGGTTGTTTGGCATGTGTTGGGTAATGCCACGATCTACTAATGAATTGATTCATGTTTGGAAATTAAGGATGCCGTGTGAGAAGGGATATACGTGATTTCTGGAGAATTGTCCCACATTGTATATGGTGGTGCATTTGGAAGGAGAGAAATAGCAGAATGTTTGAAGGAAAAGAGTCGTCTACGGCAATTGTGAAACTTCACATTCTTCGTTCTCTTTTCAATTATGTGAAGAGGAGCTCTTGTTCATTTTCTGATGATTTAATTATTTTTTTGGATTCTTTGGGGCCTTAGCCCCGGTTTCACTTTATACAGACGTGTTCCCCTTTTGAACGCCTTTTTATGTTATTATTACTTATATAAAAAAAAAAGTTATAGTGTGCCATGCTTTGCGTTGAAGCAATTTTCTTATTGAAATTAGAGAATGGAGGGTTTTTAGGATTTCAGGAAGAACTTAATTGAGTTAAAATGTTTTGGCTTTAGGTTTTGATGGTGTGTTACATGATATAAGATGTTTAGGGTGTGTTTAGCTGCATGAAATTGAAGCCTTGAAATTGGAATTTGTATGAGAAATTTTTGGTTCAATTTTCTTAATTTTTATCAAATTCCACCAATTTCAAGACTCCAATTCCATGAAATCGAAGACGCCCTTAGTGCTTTTATGGCCCAAATGCTTTTTTTATTGCCACGTGACGATGTAGTGGCAAGAGTACTGCTCTTTGAAAGTGTAATATTGCTCTTGATTCAGGAGTTTTTGACACTAGTGTAGTGCCTGTATGTGTTTTTGACATGAGTGTGAAACTGAAAATTAGTATGGAAATTGACGAGTTCACAACAAATGGTTTGTGGATTGAGTACTTTTGAGGTTGAAAAATAATACGTTTAACATGTAGAGCATGTGTTTAGCATTTTTGTTATGGATTAGCGAAGAAATAAATTATACTCACACATACATATCTTCACGAAAGCTCGAACTCCTAACATCTCTTCGAAAAGTAGGAGTCTGATACCGCTAGGCCACTGACCTGTTGGTAAATAGATATCTTTTTCTCTTGATTATTATAAAAATAGAAATAAAAATAAAAATAATTATAATTATAATTATAATTATAATTAATTTATGATGGAAGAAATCAATCAGATTTTAGTAAAATTTTATTTATTTCACCAAGGAAAAAAAAAGAATATTTTTTCCTTAAATAGGAGAATTTTTTTTATTTTTTTTGCTTCCTTCAATGATTTTTATTGGGGCTAATTTTTTTTTTTTTTTTTAAATATATTATGCTCCATACGAAAATAATAATTTTGAAAATTTTATTGCAAATGATCCGAATATTTTATAAAAAATAAAATAAGATTATTGCTGTAGATTTTTAAATTGTCCATTTCTCTCTTGTTATGAAGTTTTGTTAAACAACTCTTATATTTTTGGAATCTTTTTTTATAAGCTTTCCGTGCATATATTATATGCAATATTTGGATTATTTTATAAGTTTTTCGTGAATATATTATTTACAATATTTGGATATACGAAGATATAAATTTTTGAAGTTCGAAAAAATTAAAATTTAAATAAAGGGCATTTTTGTCCAAATATCAAGTATTTTACCCTTTTAGATAGTTGAGGTTTCTTTCATAAAAAATTAGTCGGGAATTTATTAAAAATGGTTACAAGTCGAAGGAATATGACGAGGTTTACTGAAAAGGGTACAAAGGGAATTTTTATACTTTATCCTAATTTATTTTTTTATTTATCATTTATTATTTTTAGTCATATATAATTGACACGAAATATGTATTTTTTCGAATGTATCTAACATTTGTAATGCTATTACTGATAAGTATTGATCAAATTTAATAACTTTCTATAAATTTGCGACTATTAACATTTATTTGGTGATTGTGGGTATGCAATATTTGAACACTTGTAAACTCTAAATGTTGGGAACTCTATATAAGTTGATTGCATTGAGGTATAAAATTGTTTAGAACCTATCGCTTTCGTTTGGAGCAGTGATCTTTCGTTTGGAGCAGTGATCCAACAAACAGACACATTTGTTACATCAATTGTTATACACTCAGCACATTTTGATTGCAGCGGAGAAACTAGGAAGGAAATGACAATTCATCCTTTATTTATAAGATTCCATAAGATAAAGAAATTCTAGATCATACACAATATTAAAAAACTAGATAAAATTCTAAACAGATACTTCATAAAAATCTACCTAAATATCTACATTCACTTCTCTACATTTCCACACAATTATAGAAACAAGCGCACTCAACTGTGACTCTTTTTCCCAATCGACTTTCTAGCAAGGACGTGTGGTTCGGGTTAGATAAGGTTCATTTAATTGAAAAACTCCCATGAGTTGACTGGGGTGTGATACCTGTTGAGTCTAATTTTGCTTTCTCTTTTGCCTTCGGGTACTGTTGCTTGGTGGAAGTCTGTTTGGCGTGTGACATCCCTTCTAAAATCAAGCATTTTTAATGTTGCCATGATGCACTTCCTACGGGGTTAGCTCGAGGTTTGCGACTTTCTCCTTGTTGTGCTCGCCGTGGAGTTGAGGACGATAGTCTTGTTCATTTTTTTTTTTTTTTTTTGAAGTGCCCTCGTTCTCTTCAGGTGTAGAAATTGTCCCCGTTTCGGCTGGATTTTTCAAATGCCGTTTTTGCTTCCTTTTTAGACTGGTGGTTGTGTATTTTGCGCCATGTTGTTTCTTCTCCTGCCGGCAAATCTGGTATGGGGCTGCTTTCTTTTTGTCTTTGGGCGTTGTGGAAGGCTCGTTATAGGTATGTTTTTGAAAAGGTTTTGTGGAGTCCGTTACAGACTGGATCTTTTTTTCCTCTCTATTATTTGTTTTTGAGCTAGATATGTTCAAGTGTCTTAGTTTTAATGATACTGGATTTATTCTTCCGTACCGTTCTCCACTATTCTGTTTTAGCAGCCTTATCCTTCAACTACAATTTATTTTTATTTTATTTATTTATTTATTTTATTTATTTTTATTTTTTTCCTATTTCAATGAAGGAGCTAAATATCTACCATGGTCTCTAATTCATGCATTACTAGCTTCTAATTTTATTATTTGATGGTTAATTTATAGGAAACTCATGCCTTTTAAGATTAAGACTTCCTTGCAACCTTCAGGATTGACACCAAGAGATAAGAATGTCTATATTTCGGTTTAATTCATATGTAACTAGTTGATGCATCTAGATTCACTAAGGCATCCGTTTTATGCTGCTCCAAATGTCTGCCTTTCACATTTGCAGGCCCAATTCATCTTTGAGATTAAAGGCCTCAAGGGAGCCTTTGGGGCTGACTCGAGAACTCCCAAATAACAAAGATACGAGCATAGCTGGAGCTGAAAATGGGCGTGATGTATTCAATGAGATGAAACATCGATTTCTGAATTTCAAAAAACATACATACTTGTAAGCAGCAAAGAATTCTAAAAGTCTAAATGCTGTTTAACTTGAGAGAATTCTCCTCCTAATTAATTATGTACTTTTTGAACAGAGAAAACTTAGAACGCTTTCAGAAACTTGCCAAGAGTCAAGCACCGAAGGTGATAACGGTTTTGTTTCCGAGTTATTAACTTTTTTCTGCCCAAGTGGTATACATATAATAGTGAAACTATTTTGGGTTTCTTTCCTTTGGTGATTTGCCTCAATTTTGTTGTCGATGTGGTATATAATTTTCTTAACTGACAAGTTCAAGAACAGTTTATGGTGATTGCTTGTGCGGACTCTAGGGTTTGCCCATCCAGCATACTAGGATTTCAACCAGGAGAAGCCTTTGTAGTTCGCAATGTGGCAAATCTGGTGCCTCCATTTGAGGTATCATATGCGCATTTGCTTGCTATTGAATTTACAACAGCTCCTAATTAATAAGCCTATATATAGCAAAACGGATAATTATGATTGTAACGAGTATATTACAAACAATCTTTTGAAGTGGTATATGCCTAACTCTTTCTCTCAAAATGCAGAATGGACCCTCGGAGACAAATGCCGCCCTTGAATTTTCTGTGAATTCTCTAGAAGTAAGTATTCTCAAAGATCCACCGACATGCTGCTATTTATTTTTTCTTGATTGACACAAAAATAATTATGTATCTAGGCACCATTTGTTGTGTATGGCCTGCCCATTCACTGTGGACAGTGGTGACATGTTTTTATGTTTGGAATTCATGAATCATTGGGAAATTGAAACCATTTGGTTTCTGCAAGTTATATTGGGATACTGCTGTGAAAAAAAGTCAACGAACCACTATTCTGAAAACTTTTGCAATCCATCTAATGGCTAATTCTTTCTGTTTTGGGATTGGTAAGTCGCATATACACACCCATTATTGTCCCTGTCGGGGACTTGAACCCTCAACCTTCCATTTGGAAGGAGGCGGAGATACCACTTGGGCTAAGCCCTTGGTATCTCATGGCTAATTCGGAAAAGACTAAATATTCGAGTGAGAAAGCAATTTACGTAAGCTGAAAGAAAGTGCAGATTTGGTAACCAATAAAGAAGCATGTATTTTCATTTCAGAGTTATGTGGGCACTTTATGAATGATTTGCAGTACTCATATGATTTAAAAGTTAAAAACCAAAGTCTGTAAACTTATGTTACTTCCTTACCTTCCAATGTAGAAGGTTGAGGCTTCAAGTCCCACATAGGGGCAAAGCGGGGGTGTGAGTTTCTTGCCAAGGTAAAAAAGAGAGAGAGAAAATTAAAAGTTAAAACCTAGTTATGCTTCTCACAATTGAATTGTCTCTTTATGCTTCACCAAGACACCATTTATAGTTTCCATTATTTGTTAGGATGACTGGAATGGGTCTGGCTTTAGAATATCAATATATCAATATTGCGCCACAACTCAAAAGTCAGAAGTGTCAGTAGATATCAGCTACTCTCTCACTTGAACATTAATGAGTATGTGATTTTCTGCAGGTAGAAAATATATTAGTCATTGGCCACAGCTGTTGTGGGGGCATTCATGCCCTAATGAGTATGCAAGATGAAATAAATTCAAGGTTTGCCTATATCTGTATTTTTTTTTTCTTCAGTGTCTCATGGTTGAATGTTTCTCTATCTATGTGCGTGCTTGTGTGTGTAGGGTAGTGTACTTATGTTTCTCATTGCTATCATTTCTGTTTTCCAGTAGTTTTATTAGAAGCTGGGTAATTGTTGGGAAGAATGCAAGGTTAAGCACAAAGGCTGCTGCTTCCAGCCTCAACTTTGATCAGCAGTGCAGACACTGTGAGAAGGTGCTGTTTATTTTTGTTTCGTCACTAGTAATCTTTTTTTATTTAACAAGAATATTCATCATGATCCTAAATTCTTTTTTTATGTATTAACGTGTTATCAGAATATTGCAATTTTAGTGTTTGCATGTGTCTGTCTCCATTGTTATCATGGAGGGAAGAGCGGGTGTTTCATCAGATGCTATGAAGTGTGGACAAGGATAGGGGGGTTATAGATGCATCATGATCCTAAATTCTTACTAGAGGGATATGAATATGCTGAGGACATGAATATATATATATATATATATATATATATATATATGCATTTTATTTATGTGCATATGTTAATTGAAGTATATATGCATCTATGTATAAATTTAAAATATTAATTTTTGACATGTTATGCAGATATGTTATAAATGATAATTCATTCACAAAAAATAATGACAAACAAGTATTTTGATGAATCAACCCAATATCCTATATGTTACCTTACAACATAAAAGATCACTTGAATAAGGAAAAATCTGAGTAGTAGTAAATTGACATGTACTTCGGACTATATTAGATATTGATATCTCAATTCTCTTTCCCCACCTGAGAAAGTTCAAGTATTTGAAACCCCTTTTATTCTTTCTCTAGCAATTATACTGTGATATACTACACTAAAAATCGATATCTTAATGTTCAAGACCTGTCAGACAAAATTGGTATAGGTCATGAGAGCTGATTTCTATGACATAAATATAGGACTGCGAAAAAACAATGTGTTAGGTGATGTTAATGTTACCTCCTAAATGTTTAAGCCTTATATATCCTTTATTTTTCAGGAATCCCTCAACCGTTCATTGTTGAACTTGCTCACTTACCCATGGATAAAGGAAAGGGTGTCAAAAGGGATGCTTTCCATTCATGGTGGATACTATGACTTTATCAACTGTACGTTTGAGAAATGGACCCTGGAATACCAAGGCAGTAGTTTGAAGGAGGAGAGTGGCAGATACTCTCTCAGAAACCGAGAATTTTGGTGCTGATTTTTACTTTTGCAATTCCTCTGCTAGTTGCATAATTTATTTGTATAACATTTATTCAAGTTTAGTTATGATTGAATCCTTAAGACCACTTTAGAAAATAACATTTTCCCCTTAAAATATGTGAAACTCTACTTGGTTTCATCAGTGCTTCAATCCATTGATTCTTATTGTGTCTTTAGTTAAAAGTGTGTCATGCTTTGCGTGAAGCAAACTTGATTTCTTACTGAAATTGGAAAAGGTAAAAATCACCGAGACATTTATTAAAGATGAATTTTTGTAGATTGTGAGATTGTAGATTTATGATGAGACGGATGGTTTCTTGGTCAAAAAAGAGGATCTTGGGGTAGGAAACTAATCTTCCCTACTAGGATGGCTTTTTAGTATTTCAGGAAGAACTTAATTGAGCTAAATGTTCTAGGTTTCTTGTATTTAGGTTTTGATGGGGGTTGCATGATATCTGAGGAAAGATGTTTAGTCTATAGCCCAATGCTTTTGCCACGTGACGATCTAGTGGCAAGAGTACTGCTATTTGAGAGTGTGAAACTGCTCTTGATTCAAGAGTTTTTGCCATGAGAGATGGCATGTCCTAGGGAAGTCAGGAATACCCTGTCCTAGGTGTAGTGCTTGTATGGGCTTTATAAATGTTGTATATAGCATTGCAGAAAAGAAAATAGAATTTATCAGTTCTGCGGTTGGAAGTATGCTTGGTATGGACTGTGGTGCAGAACAAAGTATTGTATAAATTTAAAGGTCATTAAATTGAGGTATAAAAATTAGAAGTCAAGATTAATATAGGAGATTGGCATTGTAGGATTGTGATTATCCTGGTTCATGCTTATGCCTAGTAGGCCGCCTTTTAGGCTGTAACTTCTTGGTTTTTGGGTTCGGAGAATTTATATACACTGAAGTGAGCAAGTGTAGTGTTAAAGAGGAGATTTTTTTTCTTTCCTTCAGTGATGAGATACCAAGTAACAGAAGAGTTTTATGAATGTTATTATTATTTTGTGAATGTTATTATTTGAATGCACTCTTGTTAAGTTCACGTGTGTGTATTTTATTTTTTATTTTTAATTTATATAATTGACATGGAATATGTATCTACCATATAAAGCTATTACCGATATGTATTGAATCATATATTGATAATGGATCAAATTTAATAATTTTTTTATGCATTTGCAAAGGCTCACGTCAGCTCTTTATTCCAATAGTTTCTAGTAAATTCCCTTAGGGTTTGTTTGGTTATCATGAAGTAGATAGAAAGGAAAAGAAAAAGAAAATATTTAACTTTTTTAGGAGTTTGGTTAGTGTGAAAGAGAAAATTTTCAGAAAAATAATTTTCTTGCAACTGCTTAATTTTCTTCACAAATTTTCTGGCACAAAACACAGGGAAAGTTAACTTTCTCGTGAAAGTGGTGCCTTCACATCTTAGTTTCCTATTATGCTCATGTCACCCTCCTCACTTTCTCTATAAACTTATATAACAAGTGAGTTTCATTCTTTTGTAAATTGCTTATAAGATCATGTAAATACTACTTTAATTGTATATAGTTTTATATCAAAATTAAAATTTTATTTTATTTTATTTTATTTTTTTCCTTCTACAATTAATAATGATTGAGAGTGATATATATATATAAATCTGAATATTTAGTAACAAAGTGTTGGTAAAAAATTAGGTTAGTGTCTTTACGTATACAAGTTTTAAAATTATAATTTAATTTATATATATATATTTTTATATATAGACTTCTCATGATTTTAGGACTCAACTACTGAAATGTACCAAACTCATTTAATTTTAACTCTACGTATATTAGATATACCAAATTAATTTAGTTTTAACTCTACGTATATTATATGTACCAAACTAATTTAGTTACGAATATTTTATTTCTATTAGACTGAAGGTTTTTTTTTTTTTTTTTTTTTTTGGTTTTTTTATGACTAAAAGTATATATATTAACTTTAACCTTTTATCCTCGAAAATTTCCGGATCAAAATTTTTTATTAATTAAACTTGTACCTATAATCACATATATCTAATTATTAAACATCAAAAGACAAATATTATAATATCCATTAATTTATCTTTGAACTTAAAATTTTAATTTTCTTCATAATTCTGAAGATATGATAGTATTTCAAAAGAGTAT